CCCAGCCTTCCCGCCTGCGCGCCCCTTCCTTCCGGCCCCTAGCCTCACCCGCATGCGGATGTAGCGCAGCCGCAGGGCACGGATTCGTCCTCGGGCCTCCGCTGCCTTGAGGACGCCGAGGAGCATGTCCTGGCGCACTGCGGGCAGCTCGAGTGACTGCGTCCACGCGCGCGGGTCGGGCATATGGTACCCCAGCTCCACTGACTCACGGGGGAAGATGGAGGCGGCCACGCCCACGTCCTCAAGCAGGTCCCCGAAGAGCAAGTGGCGGTGACGCTGCCGGGGGCGCATGGCCGCCAGGCCTTCCAGCGATAGGGCCCAACCCGGCTTGGGGGGCTCCGCCGCGGGCGGCCCCTTGGCGCGCTCCTCACGGGACCCCTTTCCTGTTCGCTCCCGCGGGCCCCTGCGCCCAGCCTCCTTCACCGCTGGCGACTGCATCCTGGGCCCTGCCGAGGAAAGAATGAGTTCCATTGGGCACCTACCAGCTCCTCTGGCCCGGCCCGGCCCGGCGCGCCCGGCCCCTCTAGATTCCCCACAGCGGGCTTTAGGTCCTGCCCCTCCAGGCTCTGCGCCATTTTCTTTTTTCTTTTTTCTTTAAGATTGATTGATTTATTTGAGAGAGATAGAGAGAGAGCGCCTGCGCGAGAGAGCAAAGGGAGCGAGGGGCAGAGGGAGAGAGTCTTAAGCAGATTTCCGCGCTGACCGGGAGCCCCAAGCCCATCAATCTCACGACCTCAGCAGAAACCAAACCGACTGCACCACCCAGGCGCCCCCAGCCTCTGCACCTTTGGGCAAGCCTAGCACCCATCCTATTTATCCTTGCAGTCAGCCATAAATTTCTGATTCACTTAGTTTCAGAAAATTCCCTTCCTGCCCACGGGCTGTTTCTCTGTCCACTGAGAAAATGCTGAAACCCCTGAGTTGACCTCTGGCCCTACCCAGGGGTGGAGACCGTGTTAAGACTGATCTGGGTGAGGCTTGGTAGACCCTTCCCCACAATTCTGGAACCCTTGATGTGCCCCAGTCCCCCATGTCTGTGGCTGCCAGTCCGTCAGCAAACCCCCACCCCACTGGAACCTCATGGCTGCTCTAGTTTGGCCAGCCCTGGCCTAGACCCCTCTGCCTTAGTGTTAGGGGCTGGAGATGGAGGGGATGGGCAGAGGAGATGTGTGTGCTCTAGTTTGTATGTTCTTGTGTGGGTCAGTCTGTGTGTCTGTGGGAGATCCCACATATGTGTCAGGGATGCTGAAAGCAGAATGGACAGCTGGCTTGCTGCCCAAGGTGGGGTGGGGTAGGGGTGGTGGGGGCAGCCCATCCTCCTAGCCTGTGCCCTGCTGAGTCTAGATGGAGGAAGGGAGAGCAGAGCCCAGGGTGGTGATAGACCAGTTAGGGCCCACAAGTGGGGAGAGGGAAATGCCCCTAAGGTCCTGGCTCAGCCCTGCAGGGCTCCTTCCCAGCCCACAGCACCTCAGGCCCCAGAGCCTGGGCCACATCCTGGCCCACTGTGGGGGGGAGGCAGAGCCACAACGAGGCATCTGCTGGCGGCCAGCTCCCTCCCACACCCCATTCTTAGCTACAGCGGTCAAGGGCCTGGCCCTTGTCCCCCTTCCCTACACCCATACTTTCCACTTTCTAGGGTCTGAGCCTCTAACCGAGGCCTGACTCCCTGGGGCTTGTTGACGCGGTTGCCTGGCAACAGGAGCCCCGCCCCCCCCCCCTCCCCGCGGGAGCTGGAGCGGGGCTGTCTCTGGGAAGGGAGGGGCGTGGGCAGAGCCCGGGTCCAGGTGTTTGGACGGTTCCTCCATTCGAGGGGGCGAAATGCCTGCAGTTGTCCCGGCCCCTTCCAGGCTGGAGGAGGTGACCGCCAGCTTTTCCAGTCTGGGTGCCCTTTCTTTTCTTCCTGGGGAGCCCCAAACGCACTCTTGTGGGGGCTTTGGGCCCAGCTTCCTGGCTGGAGAGGTCTTCGGCGGCTAGTTTTGGGGCAGAGGGCATAGCTTATGAGACCTTCCTGTCTGATACGTTTTCGCCGATGCATGACCCAAAAGGGCTCCCACAACCGCTGTTGTTCACAGGGAAGGGAAACTGGGGCAGAGCTCAGGACCCCTTACCTCTTCCAGGGCAAGTTTGGGGTCTGGGGGGCGTCCCTAAAGTTCCCAGAGCCAGGTTTTGCTGAACTCCAAATTTCTGGGTCCTGGGACCTAGATTTCTGTGATCTATTTTTTTATTTTTATTTTTTTTATTTAAAGATTTTTATTTATTTATTTGAGAGAGAGAGAGAACATGAGGAGGGGGTGGGCAGAGGGAGAAGCAGGCTCCCCACTGAGCAGGGAGCCCGATGCGGGGCTCGATCCCAGGACCCTGGGATCATGACCTGAGCCGAAGGCAGACACTTAACGACTGAGCCACCCAGGCGCCCCCTATTTTTTTTTTTTAAGATTTTATTTATTTATTTGACAGAGAGATAGAGAGTGCACAGATAGAGTGGCAGGCAGAGGGAGAGGGAGAAGCAGGCTCTCCACTGAGCAGTGAGCCCGATGCGGGGCTCGATCCCAGGGCCCTGGGATCATGACCTGAGCTGAAGGCAGACGCCCAACCGACTGAGCCACTCAGGCGCCCCTCTGTGACCTATTTTTGTATTTGTTAATTTCATACTATTTTATAACCCGTTCACTTCTCAATGTATTAATTCTATAACTCACTCATGCACTCATCAGTTTATTCTAGAATTCATGAATCCGTATGGTCCGTGCTACAGTTCACACTAGGCCAAAGTTAGTGCGCTAAGTCCATAATTTGTTAATGCATGGGTGACTTCCATGGTGCTTACGTAACTGTCCCCTTCATTCACGGATGTGTGCCAAGGGCATTGGTGTTTTTTTGTGGGTTTAGGACCTGCACCCCTGAGATGGGAACTGTCCTGGCTTTGGAGGTGGGGTCTCAGCGGACCAGGAGGTTGTTGATTGTTCACCTTGTTTTGGGAAGTTGCTCTGGTTTCCTGGTGAAAAGGTAAACTATGACTTTGAGCCCCTATATCCCAGAGTGTGCACTACCCTCAAGCTCCACTGAATGACTATCCATCCTTCCAGCCCCCAAGCCTTTGGACAAGCTGTTCCTGTATGCTGCCTGTTCCTGCCCAGTATGTGCCTTTGGGGTGTGGCCCGGGCCTTGGGATTCAGCACCAACCTTGGGGCTTGTTGAAGACAAAGGTCTCTGGGATCCAGAAGCAGTGAGGGCTTAGGGAGTCTGACCTAACAGACAACCTCCTCCAGGCAGGCCTCCTGGATACATATAGCTCAGGCAGGGGCTGCTTCTGGCTCAACTCTGTGCTCCCACACTGGTGAGCTGTGGGTGGAGACAGGGATCTGGGCTCTCCTCTCAGCTTCCCAGGTCTGGGCCAGGAGGGCTCACAGAAGGGAATTGCTTGCTGGCTCCTGGCAGTGGAGTGGGTTTTATAGGGCGAGTGGGGGCATGCTTTCCTGCAAGAAGGGACTTGTAACTTTCCCTCTGTTTTTGTAGGATTGAAAAACTTTGATATCCCTCCTCCCCAGTCCTCCGAGGGCTTGGTGCCCTCACAGCTCAAATTCCTGAAAGTAGCTTCTTCCAGCTTCTCCCCACACCTTGTGGTTCCTGGGGCGGGGGTGGGGAGGATGAGGGAGGTGCTACCCGTGTGTCTGGGGCCCAACACCTGGGAGAGACCATCAGGCAGGTGTCTTCCATCTATTTCTGTGTCCAGGATTCATGTGTTTTTCAAGGGCTGATGGAAATGCTGAGATCTAAAAGTATGTTGGTTGGCTCCAAAGCCTGAAAATAAAACCCCAAAATAAAATTCAAAGCTTTATTAAATGACTATAGAATTTAACATTATATTGAAAATCCACACACAACTCAATTCTCCTGTTGCCTTATATAACTATGATAAGGTTAAAATCACACAAACTAATTTATTATGATGAAACTCAGAATTTTAAAAATCCTTTCACTTTTTAACAGCACAAATGGGCTGCGGGCTGACCCGCCGTGGAGCGGCTGGTCTGTGTGAGGCTTCCGTTGACTGCACTGGGACCCCTGAGCCCAGCCCAGGGATGGCGAAGCAAGCCGAGGCAGAGGGGAGCAGACAGAGTGCCTGCCTGGGGCCATGAGTGCTGACGTTTCTGGGCTCCGACTCACTGGGCAAGAGTAAAGTACATTCTCCCCACTTTGTGGGTGTAAATCTCTCTGGGACCCAGGTCTTGCTACGAATGCCATGACTCGCGAGTGTAGCCCAGGCAGCTCTAGGCACAGTTTGTGGACACACATTCTGTGCTCATTCATGGGAGCTGCGTGCCTTGGGCTGTCCCTGGTTTCCCTGTGATGTGGGAAACAAAGGCCAAAGAAAAATTAAATTTCCTTACTACTTACAACCCATTGACAAGTCCTTGAAACAAGCAGAGTGAACTTCCTCTGGGAGCTCAGCTGCCTTGATGTGGACACTTTGCTAAGGGCAAAAGGCAATCTTAGCTCGACCCTCAGGATCCTGTGAGTCTATTTTTTTTTTTTGAGAGAGAGAGAGAGCAAGAGAGCTCGTGCACGCAGCGTGGGTGGGGGTGGCAGGGAGGGGCAGAGGGAGAAGGAGACAGGAGGATCCCAAGCAGGCTCCACACTCAGCCCACAGCTCAACTTGGGGCTTAATCTCACGACCCTGAGATCATGACCTGAATTGAAATCAAGAGTTGGTCGCTTAACTGACTGAGCTACCCAGGTGCCCCTAACACAAACTAATTTATTATGATGAAGTCTACTTTAAACGTATAGAAATTCCTTTGGAAACTTCCTTTATCTCTACCCCCCAAGATGTATGTTGGCAGTCATCCCCCAAACATATGACCCACCGATATACATCTGAAGTGTCTCATGACGGAGGGTTTACTAGACAGTAATAAATGACCTTTTCCTAACAATAGCTAGCCCCTCAGGGTCCTGGAAACTTTACTTCCAAAACACCTTGGAGGCTTGTGCTCTCCCTAACCCCCTCCCAACTTAAAAGTGTATAATTAACCACTCCTCACAAGCCTGGTGCAGCTCTTTGTGCCCATGGGTCCCGTCCCCGGGCTTTAATAAAAACACCTTTTTGCATTGAAGATGTCTCAAGAATTCTTTCTTGGCCATTGGCTCCGAACCCCAACATTTCCACATCACCTGTGTGTTTTGTTTTGCCTGCATGTGACGTGTGTTTGAGGGTATCCTGTGTGGACACAAATGCTCTCTCACATAACAAGTCCCCTGCTGTCCCCTGTGTGACACCTGTGTTCTGTGTCTTACCCTGGCTGCTCAGGGGTCCCGAGAGTGTCCTCTGTGCTGCTGGCCCCCTTTGTGGGAGCGCTTTAGGGTCCAGGGAGTACAGTCAGCCTCCCAGCCTGGCCACCCACCAACCAGGTGACCTAGCCTGTACTTTGGCTAAG